GTGCAGAGAAATAGTGTTCTAAACGCTCAGTTTTTATTCTATTGCAAAGCCAACCTCCTTTGTTTTGGGTTTTGAGTACTCAAAAACTTTAGATCTACTGAAGCAATCGATATTATCATTTGAAGCAGAAATAGCGTATTTCGGATTTATCATTCATTTCGTGAGTATACTTTATTTCTTTACTTTTTCATAGGTTATTTTCAATAACAATTATGGACAGAATCAGAATGTGTCAATTGATCTGTGTTTAAATTGAAATTATATTGCTAAAAGTGAAATGACAAAAAAAAGAAAAATTAAATTATAATCAACAGGGCTGCTCAGCTGGTATGGGACAAGTTGCGCTATCAAAATTTTTAAGGGAGGCACATTTTTAAATGGAAATAATTTTTGGATGGAACCATATTTTTGTAATATTTCAATTTCAGGAAAGTTTCAAGCCCAAGAATAAGGCAAAACTAAACCACAATTTTTATATATTTTTTTTCTACATTCAATTAAGTTATTATTAAGGAGAGAGCAATAAAATTTGTTGGGATGGGTTGTGCGCCATAACTGTGGGTGAAAGAGAAAGGCACCTCTAATGAACTCTAACAGCACAGTTCGATTTCCAAACAATGTCATACCAAATAATTGTAAATCTGAAATACTGAAATGGTATTGCTATGTATTGTGAAAAGTACATTTAGAATATATTTATTCATTTCATATAAATAAAAAGAACCAAGTATAATAATTGCTAACACATTTCTGATACCTGAGATACCTTAGTGACGCTCCAGGAGTGCAGCCCTTTGTCAGAGGCAATAAAACACCTAAGGACAGGTGCCAGCAAAACACCTAAACAGGCTAGAACATAAAAATAAGACATATTTAGATAAGATTAAAAAGCTTGCCTAACTAAGAAAGAAAATAAAGCACTTTCGAGAAAGATGAAAAGCCCTACGGCCTGAAGGTGTGGTCATCTCCTCTGCTATGAAAATTGAGCCAATGACAGAAAACTAAAAAAGAGAGATAGGATTCAAGTCTGGGACAACAGACAATGGAAGGATGAGTCGGATATAAGTAGTCAAGTAGAGGCAATGGAGAGTAGACAAGGGGTCTGAGACCGTAAGAGATGCAGAAGAACTGTGGACTTGGGAGATTCGCCTAGAAGCCAAGAGAGGAGAGACAGCTAGAGATACTGGCAACACCCCACACCATAAACAAACAACACCCAAGCCATAACATTCATTTAGTATTACCCATGTAAACTTGTATTGGTAGTCAATAGCAACAGTAGAGTCAATAGATCGTTAGTAACTTCAATCAGACCGATTCAAAATAGCATTCTCCTCTAATATGATTCTCTAATACTTATTGTACATATATGTTTTTATTTTGTTTAAGTTTATAAATAAATTAATTATTATACAATCTTGATCATTTTACAATCTCCCTTGCATGCCACCAATTAGTTATAAAAACAAATAGTAAATTTTTGATACCATGATACCTTTTGAAAAGAAATCCAATATACATTATATTATCCAATCTAGGATATTACAGTAGGGAATCTGTATTATCTAACTTTTAAATACACAATTCATATATTTGTAAGCAGATTGGTTCTCTTCTAGAGCGGATAGTAAAACAAATAGAAATAAATGCAGAACCATAAAATATTTTGTATAGCATGGGTAGCTTCTACAACCAACAGATGGTGTTGTTTGAAAAAAAAAAGTTTTTATCTACTATAGGAGTAAAATGTTACAACAGTAGGTATATAAACACATATGCATTCGTAAGCAAAATTGTGCCAAAATTTCAAAGCAATCAATAAAGAGCTTTAGAGATTTAAGATTTTTAATAAATGAATATTTACATTTTTATTCAACATTAACAAAGTATTGTGAAATATAACATATTAGAAACATATCCTTTGGATTTAATAAACAAGAAGTTGGCTGGAAATGATCTGCCTTAAGTATTAGGGTATCTATGTCCCATATATAAAAAAGGGAATAAAAAATTGTGCACAAACTCTAGAAGTATTTCTACCAACACTTTTATGAAACTCCAAGGAAGAATTGTCAAAAGTAGGTTAGATAGGAAATATGAGGGTAAAGTGGCTTTACTGCAGGAAGGTTTTGCATCTATCGCATTTTTAGATTGAGACATATCATCGAAAATGGAGTGTCTCTTCATTGACTTGGAAAAGGCATATGAATCGGTCCCAAGGAAGCTATTGTGGAAAGCTCTCGAGGAAGCAAAGATCTCAGAGCCCACAATAACCACCATAAGAGAAATTTACCACAATAATTTCTGCTGTATTAAACAAGAGTTAAGTCCCTCTGACAAATTCCAGACTTCAAAAAGACTTCTGCAGGGATGCTGCCTTTCGCCTCTTTTTTTATTTATCTACTCTTTAATTTATGATAATTTTGCTCTCAGAGAGTGCAAAAGAAAATTTGGAAAATGAGAATAAGGATTGGGGAAAATGTATGCACCATGAACCTAATGTTTGCTGATAAGCAAGTAATCATAGCCCAGGATAGAGGGGACATCAATTATATGTTCAGAAAGGTTATCGAGAGTTATGAAAAGTGGGAGTTGACTATCAACTTTATGAAACAGAGCTCTTTAGCTATTCATCTCATGACATGCCTTTTGAAAGAGGTATAAAACTGTAAAGAAATTTAAATACCTCGGATGCGTAATTAATAGAGAAGACACATCTACCAATTATATCGACACAAGAATTGGTGATGGAAGAAAGGGCACAGGAATACTCAGCTTGATTATACAGCCCAGTACAAACAGGCTAATATTCGAGGCTATATTTGAGCCAATAACGACAGATGCCTCACTAAGACACCAACACTTTCTATTTTTTTCATTTAATTTCTCATTAACCTATATTTTGATACTTAGGCTTAATAATAATGTTTTTCTTATAGAAGTGGTACAATTGTCACGAACATCTTTTCCGCGAGTTTTCTCAAAATGTTCGTAAAACATAGATCAAATTTTTCTAATATTACCTTTTTCATAAATAAATAGATTTTTCGTTAAAATTAATACTATTTCGTTAGAGCATGTACAAATATATTTCAAAAATTTGTTTCATGAGATGAAACGGGTCAAAGTATCCTGACACATGCCATGATTAACTACAGCATACATGTGATTACTACACTTGTAATTATAAATATATATAATATATATATATATATATATATATATATATATATATATATATATATATATATATATATACTATACACCTTTTATGCGTAACATTAATGGAGATGGACATTCATGCTCAAAAATAAAGAAATTATATATTCTCATTGGGATTGACGAAATTTATAAAAATATTTAAAATTTATGTAACTTTGAACTCATAAAAGATAAATTAATGAATTATATATAAGTTTAAAGAAATAAATGTATTCTACAAGGTTCTTCCAGACAATTTTCTTGTAGAACGAAAAACCGTGATGCTAAAAAGACAAGTCTGACAAAAAACATGAGATGAAAATAATTTTTTCGAAAATAGGCAATTTAAGATGGCGAATCTCGAAAACTATAAAAGATACGAAAGTAATAAATGTATACTATCTTAAATGAAATGTTGTCAGCTTTAATTTGTTATACAACAAAGTTTCGTCTCCGAAGACTCATTTTCAAGATATATGAAAAAATATGGAAAAAGTGAGCTTTAAAACGTCCCCCACCGTGAAGTGGAAGAGATAGGGGCGGGAACTTTTAGTATGTTTATCTCCTAAGTGTCCTCAACAAATTCCTATAGTCAATTGCTTGTCCATCCTCCATGCACTCTACAAGCCCTTTTTTGCCATTCATTGACTAGACTAAAAGCATAGAGCTTTGTAATGGTCTTAATGATTTTTTATCTGTAAGCTTTAAGCTTTAGCTCCGTTTAAAATGCACTTTAAAAAATTTATAATAGTCCAACATTGGCAGAAAATAATTTCTATTCAAAGTAGAGTGGTAAATGAAAGTTGTGTGTTGCGCGCACCAGATTTATTTATTTGATGTAACAAAGGAATTTTAAAACACTAGTTACAAAAGAATTCTATATTTATATCATTAGAAATAATAATAATAAATATTTATAAAAAAACAAATAATAATAATAAATATTTATATAAAAACAAATCATATTTAAAAATTAAAAATTATTTATTCCAACTGTAAGGAAAGAGTTAATAGTTTATTTCATCATAGTATTATCAATCCTTTATAACTTCTTGTATTTTATTATATGTTACATACCGTCCATTTCACTCATTGTTCATTATTTACATTTTTCAATATTAACATAGACTTGTTTGATTTCCATAAATTATCATATTGTTCACTATCCCCTTATCCTGCGATTTATATATTTCTACACATCATAATATTTCAGATACATTGTAATTTCTAACGATAACATACAAGAATGAAAATTCTAGTTATATTCAAATACATATATATATATATATATATATTTTAATTTGGTTTATCCTACTTATCGTAATATTTGAGATATCGTCGGCACCATGTTAAGGCAGTTGTCTCAAAGCGTTTAGGCCCGCAAACCACATTGAGAAATCTACCAAGTCCCGTGGGCCACAATGAGGCCTCAAATCAGTCCCGCGATCCGTATTCAGACTTCCAGTAAGTCCCTTGGGTCTTGTGATAAATAAATGACACTTCAGTTGTGAAATGAATTTTCTAAAACGAACAATTCATGTAATAAATGGTGTTGACCTCCTGTTTGAGTGATTTGCTTAAGGTCCTGTTTTTAATTAGGTTTAAAATTCTACCACGAAATCAAATAAACTTAAACGGTGCTTGCAGACCATTGTTTAGAGATCTCTGTGTTAAAGTAACTGATGTGTAACAATAAACTGGCACACAATTGTTACTTTAACATGGTGCCGACGATACATTACCGTGTACAGATATACTACCAAGATATACAATACTAAAATTTATTTATAAATAGATTTTTACATTATTTTTGTGTTTATAGCCATTGCCATTGCAGCTACGTCAGTGTCTTTAACGTTATCGACAAGAATGATGTTGGGATATGAGGAAGAAGAAACTTCTTCATACAACAATTTTCCCAACTGAATATTAGCTTGATCTGCCAGGTCCATAAGGGCGATAGAAAAGGTAGTGCAAAAGGCGGCTTGACGGCCATTTTGAGTCAGGGTCCAGGATAGTAAAAAGTACTGATTGTTTGAATGCTCATGCATCTTTTTGACTTGATCTTTGATCATTGTCCTCCAATTGTTAACACCAGCATAATCATCATAAATATCTAAGCTGTTAGTCATGAAATAACCCTTACCTAATCTACTTCCTAACTCGACTTTAGAGTCAGGATCATCAACAATTATGACGACAGAAGCTTTGGACCCATGATCGGTGAAATCATTAAAAGTTATTTGGTCAAGTTTAACATTTTTATTGTCATTGTTGTAAAGAAAATTTATTGTGTCCAGTTTCTCGAACAACTTGTCCCACTCTTCTTGGTTTAACTTTCTATAACTATTGGGTCCCACATCAGTGTTCAAAGAATGTGATAATTTGAGTATTATTAGTTCGTTGTGGTGTTTTGTAAAAACATTGAGATCAGTTATAAGTTCAGCGATATACTTACCGTTACCACCCTGCCAGCTACCTGTAATGTGAGTGTAGTGCCCGGTGAGATAATTACCACCATTACCAATCACTGGTCTTATATCGAAGTATCTGATACCGAGATTCAACTGGCCTTCAAAAGGATAACTTTGAGTTAGCACATTGCATTCATAAGCAAAGGCAGTTCCTCCATTCAGCCTGCTCATACCTGCATCATGAGATCCAGGGATGGAAATCTGCCTGAGAGTTCTATTCCCCAAAACGTCTATGTTGTTCTTCATCCAGTTAGAACCGTCCAAACTAGTGCCGGTGTACTTCCCATTTTTTCCAATAATAATGATATTGGTGTCTCCGTCATGCCTAAAACCTAAATTGCGTCTCATTCCTTTCGGTTGCCCATCTATCTCTATGTTGTCATAGAACGCCTCCAATCGGTTAGGTATATCCTGCCTAAGAGGAGGTCCTCCTATAGCTAATATCTGAAAACTCTTTCCTCCTGTTCCAACAAGTTCATAGTCAACTCGAGCGGAAGAACTGAATGTTATCAGATCATCGAATTCTACATAAAACAGTTCTGCGTTCCCATTTTTGAATAAAGCTGGAAATTGCCAGGTATTCATATGGGATGATTCTTGGTGTGTCTGTTTCCAATCCGATCCACTCAGATTTATCAGGTAAACATAACCACCTTCTCCAGCGATGCTGAATCCAACACAAGCGGCAATAAAGAACAGAGCGATCATCGCATTAATGTGTAGCAGAACTGTCGTTAGCAAAAGATCCTTACCTGTAAACATGAATTTGGCATGAGGTATATTTGAAAATAAACATTGAAAAATATATACCTATACATTTAAAAATGTTAATAAGGAAAACTTTCAACAAGTATTAATTTTATTATTTGCTTCGTTAAAGTTGTTTTATCGGCCTATCACCGTTAATTTTATTAACATCATATGTATAATATTTTAATTTTCATCTATCCAATCATAATTTAATCTAATTACACTGCCCGACAAAAATAATTTGCGTGTATCTTCGATGAAAACTGTTTCTCATGACTAATTTTGGTGTGAGAAACTCAAATTTTCTGTCAGAATCCTTATATTAGCTACTATTCCGCGGATACGTACACCCAGTATCAAATACAAAAAATTAAGTTATTGGAAGTTACACGATCATTTTTTAGGCTTTAAAAGTGCTTTCTTATTTGTGAAATACTTTTAAAACCCACAAAACATTAAATTACAACTTCTCTCGGCAAGAACAGAGCTGTTGTATAGTTTATTTGAAACAGATTTTAATGTTTATTTAGGATTTTTTATTTCTTTCTGGATTTTCCTAATGCTAAATATTTATGACCATCAGGTAAGGAAGGATGGAGAAATTTTTCACCGGAAAGAGGATAGGTCTAGTTTGCTTAACTCTAATGAATAAACCTCTCTTGAACGCTGGGTGACGTGAACGTTATACTTAGAATCGGTTGTTTTCCCAATGTTGTTGTTAAAATGTTCAATAATTTAACTTACTACAGTCAAAAAAACTTTTTTTTAAGTAGATTGGACAAATACGAATTCTGCCCTCTATAATGGTATTAAAGGCATTAATTTTACAACACTGAACATGTTTAACCCAAAATAAAATTTTAAAAAATGTGAATCATAAGTAACAAACAATCATACGTTTTCTTTACTTTCTCCTCAAACGTTCACAAATTGTATGCCATATTAGATAACATCCAAATCTTTCACCTCTTAAAAAGTGTTGAAGCGATCGGAATAAATGGAAATTCGATAGTGCAACATTAGGCGAGAATGGTGGGCGAGGCAGTACCTGCCACCCCAATTCATTAATGTTTTAGGTTTCAAGGGTTCATCTTGCGCAGTGCGGTCTTGCATTATCGTATTTCAGAATAACGCTTTTTCTGTTAACAACCGCTAGCCACTTTTCAATTACAGATTGATTTACGCGATCCAATTGTTCACAGTAAAGGTCTGCGTTCACAGTTTGTCCAGGTTTCTGCACTTCAAAAGACCCTTTTTGGGGTATAAACTTGGCTTAGCAGTAAGTACTACGTGGCGCTTCATTTGGAGAGAGCCACTGCCTTTTTGTGTTTTGGATTATCATAGGGGACCCATTTTTCATCTTCGGTGATCAAGCGATCAAAATAACGCTCCTGAATTGTACCGTTGAAGAAAAAAGTTGCATGTGGTGGATCGGTGGATGGTCGGCCAAGGTTGTTTACGGCTGTTAAACAATCCCTTGATTGCCTGACACCTTGATTTGCTTCCATTTTCGCTATTAATACTTCATTGTCTAATGTCGTTGGTCTTCCTGATTGATACGGGTAGAAAAGATCAAAGTTACCGGATTAAAACTTAAAAAACCAACTTTGGAATTTACGAATGTCTGATGCATTTGGATAAACACCACAAATATTTCTGGTAGCAACTAGCGTTACTAGTAATCATTAGTACCTTGCGAAACTCAAAACGAATTCTAGGCCAAATACCTCTTCTGGTATTTGGCTGGCCATTTCATCCGAAATTGCAAAAAAAAAATTTAATTATTCACAACTAAACAAGTCACTTTAAGCATAGAATGTTTTTCCCAGGACTTTGATATACACAATGAGCAGCCAAATGACAATCAAATAGTGACATGCACAGAAACGGATTTATTTTCCGGTTCCCCTAATACATCATTTCTGTTTTTAAAAAAATGGAAATATAATGAATTGAATATCAAAAATTACAGATTCATAAAGTTGAAACGAATTGATACAACCTTGCAAAATAACGTATATTACCCATCCCGCCACTAAATTAAGAAAAATATCAGTCGTATATGAATACATTATATTTCGATCTTTACTACACTTGATGTTGTATTAATATTTCACTTACCCTGATTGAAAAGAACATTACACAGCTAAGGACTGTGCTAACGGTCAACGTTTCTTAGTTTTTATACTCTGTTATCAGCAGATAATAGCACTTAGCAAATGATGACTAAAACAAATATTTAATAAGTAATTTAAAATTATTAATCCTAATTCAGTTGAGGTTTGGTGCAGAATAGCTTGATATTCACTTCTAGTTGTGTTAACAACGATGGCATTTAATATTCTGCCATCCCAAAGTACTCCTGTTTTCAGAAAAAATAATGACATTGAATTCTTATTAACTTTAGTTATTTGTCAAATCTTTCTCGGTATGTATTGTATTAAATTAATTAGCAAAACATACTTTTTTTGCCAACAGAAAAAATATATAAATAATGTTTAAATAATACCGCTATTTCAAAAATGAACCATATAAAGTGTAAATGCACTTGCGTGTATCAATTATGTGAATTGATTATTATTGTATTATGTGACTAGAATAGTGACTAACTAGTGTTCCGAATCCTAACATTGATATTTAAATGAAGATTATTCACAGAATTCTAATGTTTATTTTTTTTAAATGTTTTTATTTATTTATTGACAATTACAACTGTATTCATACAATACAGCCAGTAAATGTAAAGTAAGAGTTTAGAAATTCATATTTACAATACTTAGCTGTTTGCCTTAAATTGATGTTCTGTTGATATAGAAATATATAATCGGATGTAACATTGGAGCTTTTATGAATTCATGGAAGGAAACAATAAATCCGTAGGAGAGTTTTTTTCCTCGAAGAAGCAACATTTACAGGCAATGGAATATTTATATTTTGTTTTGAATATTAAATGGGTGTTGCGGCCAATATGGTCACTTTTTTAAAAAATTTATTTGTGACCTTATTTGTCCATATTGATTATATTGACCATATATTTTTATTTTCCTTATAAATATAAATAAAATATTTCATTTTAATTGATTGTTTCCACACTATTATATGACAAACTACTTTCTTTTTATTCTTCGTAACGAGATGTTTTCTGCTACTTCTGGGACTCTCCGCCTCACGTCGAGTCACATGATACGGGAGAAGCAAAAGGAAAATAATACGAGGCAAGTATGGCTGCTGGTAGCGCTGCATATAGAACTCTCCATGAGCTTCTTCGATCCATCACCATTACTCCTGGAAAACTCATGGTTTCATCTCTCCAGGTTGTGACGGCGACTTTCCACATCTGGGGCATAGTTATCCTCCACGAGAACTCAGTACTCAGCTGCACCACAATGACGTTAAAACACATAATATGACCAGCTGGCTGGAGGTGATATGTTTTATTTTCATTAAGAACATTTAAAGGTGAGTTGCGCCACATTTTTTTTTTTTTTTTTTTATGGAATTTCTTAACTGAGATATATTACAATCTGTCACATTTAAGAACAACAATAATAGTGGTAAAGAGTAGCTCATTCATACTATGCACAATAAATAAACAGCAATATAATAATACTAAAAGTAAATGTATATAAACTGAAAGGCACTAAACAAAACAAAAATAAACTAATCTAACAAAATAAATACTTAAAAACACACATGTTTTTATACAATAATCATTCTCTCAAGGTCTCCGAACCAAGCTTTTCCCTAGACTCGTGAAGGGAAAGGCAGGACTCTAGGAGATCCCAGCGTCTTTCACTCAGCCGCATCACTGGTATCACCAATCTGAGGCTGAGCAGAGGCATTATAACCAGACACATGGCTTGAGTGGAGAATCTGGCCATTGCCATAACTCCAATATATTCAACAGGACTCTGGGCCACTGAAGCTTCAACCTTCGAGAAGGAATGTAGGAATGAGTAGAGCTAGAAAGGGATTGTGCAATTGGATTTGGATGATATGTAAGATTTTGATAGACTTTGGAAAATTTTTGAGGGATAAGGTCTAGGACAAATGGGATATTAAGGTCATGGTGTAAGGTTTGGTTGTTTACATAGAACGGAGCATCAACTTTTGTTCGAAGGACTTTGGATTGAATGCGTTTGATATTAATAACTTTTGCTGTATCCTCAGAGTTCCTGTCCGCAGGTCCAAATAGGTTTCAGTATTCTCTTGTAGATCAGTAGTTTGTTGTCAATTGAAAGTTGAGATTTTCTGTTCAGTAGTCTATATATCTGGGCCATATCGTCGGTTGAATTCTTGTATTTTGAGTCTAGTATGTGGGTTCCATGTCAGTCTTCGGTCTAAGAGAAAGCCAAGATACCTGACTGAGACTGAGTAACAAAGCTGAATGGAATTAAAGTGTAATGGTGGACAGGAATTGCGTCGGAGAGTAAAGGTAGTATGTTTGCATTTCGACTCTTTCACTTTAATGCGCCATTCATCACATCAGTGCTCAATCAGGGAGAGGTGCCTTTGTAGATTTAAGGACGCTATTTCAGGATCTGAGTTGGATGATAGGATTGCGGTGTCATCAGTAAATTTTGCAAGGAAGGTATCAGAATGAGCAGAGATGTCAGCGGTAAAGAGGATGTATAGCACGGGACCCAAGACGCTGCGCTGAGGAAAACCGGCTTTAATTGGATAAATATTGGAAAATGCCTTTTCGCAGCGTACTCGGAAGAGCGATCAGAGAAATAGGATCGAAGGATTAGGTATAAGGACTGAGGGAGATGGATTTTAATCTTGAAGAGCAGCCCAGGATACCATAACCGGTCAAAAGCCTGTGCTATGTCCAGAAATGCATCCGAACAGTATTGCTGGTTTTCTAGGGCTGCTGATATATGATCAACGACTCGAAGTTCATGTTGAACAGGGGAATGTTTTGAGCGAAAACCAAACTGATGGGAAGGAAGATATTGGGATTCTATGAGGGATAGGAGTCATTTCTAAAGAACCTTTTCAAAGATTTTTGT